GTACCAGTTATGCATCCCTGAGAAATGTTCCACATTAAACTGTGCGGTCTAGTAAAGGAGAAGTTAAGACAAATTTGCAAGTACAGAACACAGCTACGGTGACTGAAATTACCGAGGGTTTCCATATTACTGGGGACGGGGCAACGCTCGGGAAAAGCAAGCTCAAAGGCAGGCTCAGCTTGCTCTCCCTCCAAGCAAACATATCGTAATGAACAATCATTTGGCTAGTAAAGTGCTTAACACAAAGCTAGGCTTTGATTTCGAACACACATTTCATGCAAAGAAGGGCTAAACTCCTCCAGTTCTGTGTCCTGTAGCTTGGTCTTTAGAGCAGGTTGCGCTAACGGGGATATGAACTTACCTCATAGTGTTCTCTGGACTGTACAGACTTCAGAGAGCTTATCCAATCCTCCATTTCTTTTCTGTTCTCAGCACACAATATTAGCCTCCTGAACGGGGTGATTATCTGAAAAAGATTTGCATTGTGATGATTCTAGACAGTGGAAATCATTATAAAGCAGAGTATCTGATCAAGATTTTCCTCTGAGATGATGTAAGTGAAAGACACACCTCAAATCACAGGATATTAAATGTTTAAATATTATTTCCTTTAATACTATCAAGAAGAGTTTGCTATTCTCTCTTCAGTTCCCAAGACTTGTATGAAGCTTTGATACAGGTTTTTACAATGTAGGTCGATCACAACTCTTTTTCAGCTCTTTGTCCATTGAACACTCAAAAAGAAAGCTCTGAAATCACTAAAACAACCTTTCTAGATATTATTAATTGAGGAAGATTTCAATCCTCTTCCATAACAGAATTACAGCAGCTGCAAAGTCCATGCAAATTGCTGGAAATGAAAACAAATCATACTGATAAACAAAAACCTGGAAATCAAAAGGAAAAAAGTTTCACCATATTTCTCTATCTTGCATATTAAGTTTACATATTTTTAAGCATATAGAAATTTTAAACAAAACATTCTACATAAAAGCTAGTATAAGAACTAACACAAAAGCCTTATGAAAAGACAGAGAACAAAAGCAAATAGCTGAAATCATATCCTACAGTCCTTCCAGAACGGTTGAATGAATTCCTGGAGCAAGTTGATGCTAGGGGAGCCCTAAGTGGCCTGAATTTAGACTCTAGAAATCAGAAAATGAGATGTCTTGGAGGGTCAGAGGATGAGCTGATTGCCCCTTTTCCCTCACCAGTAAAGAAATAATTAAAATAACAGTAAGGCACTAGAAACTCCCACTGAAATTATTTTGAGCACTTCACTAAAATAGATGAAGCAATTACTTCTTCCACAGCAAGGAATTTAAAACAAAATAAGCATATAAAAACAAAGGAAAAGTTATTAGTTTTGTTGCATGAAGTCTGAAAAGAAAATAAAGCTAAATCCTCTATAAGTCTTCCACATAAATCCACTGCATATTATCTACCACCCACCCTTGCAAATTCCTTAAATAAAACAAAGAAGAGACCACCAAAAAATCTCTGCCCTGAGCATTGCATTAAATGCTACAGGCTAGAAATTTTAACATTTGTGCAAAATTACAATCCCTTATCTACATCTGCATTTACTTACCCAAGCTCTGCTGGAAATAGTCTCTAGTGTTGATTTGTCCTACGCACTTCTTCATTAAACTGACTGAGCTGCACTTTAACATATCTCAGAGGCAACGTAACTGGAGTGCAGCAGGCTGCAAGTCACATGGAAGAGAGGCAAAACCCTTTGGGCTTTTTTTTTTTTTTTTTAATGAGACGTAGGCACTTCAGATGGAATGCAATGGTTTCTCTCTGCTTTCTATTTCCTTCAATCTTGCCTAAGCTTTTTAATAAGGTTTATTAGTAGCTATCCACGACTCTTCTAAAGAACAGTTAATGCAAAGAGCAATGCTTCTCTCATTAGTTTGGAGCCAAATAGACGCTTTATTACTTCAAAATGTTTTTCTAGGCCAGGTCATCAAATAAAGCCCAGAAAAGCTATTAAATCATAATATAACCCTGGCTCCAATAATAATCATTCTCCAGGAATTTCCAGGTTTCAATCACTCAGAAATCTTATTTGTGCAAATACATGCACCACACTATTGCCTATTACACAGCACGACCTCACACTATGGATTAAGTTAAAAGAAATCTACCAAAAACCCTACAATTCGTGTCAGACCATGGTTTAGTGGCTCACGGGCAGTTCTGCAGTGCCCACCGAGATGTCCTCTAGTACCCAAAGCATCAGCCCAGGCCTGGCAGGTACCACAGAGGACCAGACAAAGCTATGACCCAGGTGAGACACCAAAGGACACTGCAAAAGGTAGAACCTATCCACGTGTTAACAACCAAATCATGCCACCAAATGTGGTTAATGAGCATACCACAGCATATGAACATACCAGAAATCCCCATTTTATTAAATATTTCCTTAGAAAAATTTCAAAAACCTATGAGTTACTGTTTAACGATTACATAAATGGAAACCATATTATTAGTCCTCTAAAAATAAAGTGGAAAGTCAGAAGACTAATACACAGCACACAAGATGATTAATCTTCATTTTCTCCTTGATTTGCATACTTCTAAGCAACAAACTTCAGGAAGGAATATGATATATCAAAAGAGATAAAATGCATTATACACAAAAAATATTGACTATACTTGGATTCTTTCTTAACAAAAAAGAGGGAGAGAGAGAGAAGCTAAGTAGTCCATTTAAGTATTTAAGTTTCGAGTCATTTTAATGTCTAAAAAGTTATGGAAAATATGTAGTCTCACTATATTGTTACCTATTTCACATAACCCAGAACTTGGCGCGTGAAGGGAATAGTTAGTACACAAGAAAACTTTTGTTTTTTGCTTTTGTTTTTTTTTAAGCAGCACATCATTAAGGTTTGAAACTTATCCTCACGCTTGTTTGGGAGTCTGGAAGTATAAATGTCTAAAAAGGGATCTGACACATTCATCAAGAGTAAATGCATCATATAATATCAGGGAGAGTATTCCTGACCTTCTGCTGATTAAGCCCTTAAGACCCACTCAATTACTGAATGCTCGGAAATTATACAAGAGGAAGGATCACGGTGCATTCCCTGCTTCTCACGCTGCTTTCAGGAGCATCTGCTGTTCATGACCAAATGCAGGATACCCCCTTGCTCTGATTCAGCACAGCTCTATGAGCTTTCCTTTAACTCGGCATATCTGCTTTTGCTTATCCCAAACTCAGAATGATTTCATACTCCCCCTCAGTTGCACACAAGGCACGCTCAAGGAACATCATGAAAAAACAAGTTAAGTGGTATTTATTAGAGACTGTTAAACCCATACGCAGACATAATAGTAAAATAGCTTTAATTATCCTTAAACCTAATTGTAGCCATATAAATCTGGATTTTACTAGTAATCCCATTTCACTGCAAGCAGCCATATTTAAAATCCTACCTTATCTTCTATCATCCTGTTCCATATTACTATTTTCTTCTTGATTAATCTGCCCCAAATATAATTATTTATATATCATTCAATACAGTAAACTGCCAATGTCATTGAAGAATGACATGAGACATGAAGAAAGCACTTAATTCAGCAACACAAGCAGTCTCAGAGGCAACACTAGAAGAGCATTTGAAGAAATAACATAAGAACAAGAAAACCACCCCCGCTTACATTTCAGAGAAACTCAGGTGCCAATGGCTCACACACTGACAAAGCAGGAGACAAACCGAGAAGGATAAACACAGGAGAAAGGCCTTAAAAATGAATAAATCAAACAAATTTAATTTAGAAGATTAAGTTACTTTGAAAATTTTTGCCCTTGCCAAGTAGCCAGGAAGAAGTCATTGCTGATTTGGAGGAGAGGGTTACCAAAGCCAGATACTGCAGTACAGTGGAAAGTAATGAAACTGAGGGAGCAGAAAGAGACACTTTTAATGCAGTGGGCACAGGGAAAGACTGTGCAGTATCTAAAGTTGAAGGGAAACAGCGCAAGTTCTAAGACATCGGAGGGAATAAATATACCTGAATAGGAAGAAAAATGGCCCATTAATGTGATACTGCTCCTTTTTTAATTCAGAAAACGAGGGGCTTGTGAGCAATGAATAAAGAGGAGAACAAGAGAACATTCTTCAGACTGCCACGATATAGTTCTTGACATAAATTGGTATTTTTCACACATGTTGATATTTGGATAATTCAATACCCCCCAAAATATATGCACTCCTATATATGCATATGTTTTTATGTATATATAAAAAAAAGACTTCAGTGAAAATTACCCAGGCAAGTTTTGAAATACTACTGCAGCTTCTCTTTCAAAACACCTGCCAAGGCCTTTTCAAAGCAAATAAAATTCCATTAAATTCAACAGATATTTGAAAGCATCTTTTCTTTCAAAGAGGCTAACTTCAACACAGTTCTACACAGCCTTCGGGGCAATGAGTTTAGCCTTAAGAACTGTAAAATAAAAATCCAATGGTGCCAATGTAGGCAGCTAGATAGGTACTTACATCTGGTAGCATGAAATACCTTCAGATTCAATCTCTGAATTGCAATATAGGACTAAAGATACTGCTATAAACATCTCCCTCACATATTCATGAAGTAAAATATATAATCTCTTTTCCAGTGGTCACTGTTCATTTTACTGTTGAGTCAATAAAATATAAGTCATCTACAAATTAATGCCAGGATCTTCTATGTAGAGTGATTAGACTTTGGTATAGTGTAGCACTATTGACAGGTACATCAACTAATACTTGTATTAAGTACTGCCTAGAATATTTATGCTTTCTCAAAGACAAAGGGATGGTGTAATAATGCAAAGATAATGCTGTCCACAATGCTGTAAAATGGCAGTTCCTCTGTGGATCTTCTGGAATATGAATCTTCTCCTCTTTTCTCACTGTAACTACATCAATACCATATTATTATGATTTCAGTGCACTCATGAATGACCATAATACCACAAATTCATCACTAAAAAATTGCCCTAATTATCTGGAAAAACTGATACTTCAGGCATGCTGAATTGTATTCTAATCTGATAACAAAACCAAAGCTGAAACATCATTTCAAAAAAAAATTGCACCCATCACATTTGCTAACCAAGAAAATAATGGCCTACATCTCAGCAGCACTACAGTAGCAACTGTAAGTCACCCAACTTCCTGCAACATGATATTTGCATTAAAGCACCTTATGTTTCTCTAAATTATTATCAGGCATTGCACTAATAGCCCTGCGTACAGTGGATCCCGAATTGGTTTAGTAATGCATAAGCATCATTTACAATCAGCAACAGGTGAGGAAATGGTTTTCCTGTTTGAAGAGGTATTTTAAAGGTACCTTTCTAAAACTATTGAAAAGAGGGGGGTATGAAGAGGGAGAGTGCACCCCTCTTGCTTCATAGGGACAACACTCGATGCCTGGAGCATGAATATGAGCGAGTTAATCCTTTGAAACTTCCCT